ATTATATCATAGCCTTAATTATGAAAAGAACCATTCTTCATAGAGTTCCTTTTGTGATTCAGATTTTGCCTTTTTCATAGGTAACTGCTATGCATACTTAAGATGGTATAAGAATAACTAATGATGATACAATCCTCATCTATATGTACATAGTACCTTAATAGGGGGTGAGATTTCTAGGGGTAGTAGATCCTTTTGCCATTGTGTTGGAGGAAGGTAAAACTTCTTCTCTGTGAGCCATCTTGCTGCAAGAACTACGATGCTAAGAATGCCCTAGAGATTTTGAAGACCTTTCTTAATGATGTGCCATGAGATCTGAGCAGGAAGAGTATAGTGTTATGGGTTTGCATATGTGAGGGCCTCTAGTAGCTATAATTGTGGTAGGCTTGACTCCTTTTCTGAATACTTGCTCCAGCATGAAGTACAGACCTGACTGGATGTATTAAGAGGGAAGAAAGGCTTTGTCTGAGCTCAAAAGAAGAAGGTGCTTTAGTCCCTGGTTTGGTCTCTGAGTTCATAAGCAAACATCAGCGGTCATGACCACTTTACCTTTTCTAGTTTACGTATAAGGAGGAAGATCCAGGTGGGACAAGGTAATAGAAGCGTCCTGGCTAGACAGGAGTAAAGAGTTGGGAACCACTAATCTACACACTCCATGAGCTGTGTTCTCTCTACAAAACTGACGGTGATACTTCCCTTCTTCACTGTGGTGGTGTGAGGATATAAGTAGGACACAAGATTACTTTTAACAAGAAAAAGGGCAAAACTGAAAATAAAATAAATATTCTCACTAGTTTATCTCTAAGAATTTCAGTACCTTTTAATTGACACCTGTGTAAATGAGGTCAGAATCAGGCCTGTGGCTTTCAAGGTCAGTTTTAAAATAAAATAAAATGAAAGCATCTGATCAATGAAGCTGTATGCACCCAAGTGATAAGTAGAAGATTAGTGGTTTCAGAAAATTCTTTTGAGCCTGTATGACTCAGATACATTTGTATGTGTGGGGGGAAGGATTGTTTATTTTAAATTGGCTCTCTTATGGTCTCATTATTTTTGCCATTTAGAAAAAGAAAAATTGGTGAAATTGACATTTAGTTACAAGAAATAATATTCCATATATGAGTAGAAACTATTTTTATGAATTTTCATGAATATTTGCTGTATCAGTGTATGCATAGTAATTATGGTTCAGCTGTAGTGTATTATCATAAATGAATATATAAAAATTCAGGGTAAAATATATTATTTGATTATTTAATTAAAATAAATTCCTTAACTGAAAAAAGATATTGAAATACTAAATCTGTCAGACACTTAAAGGAACATAATAAAGGTTGACAAGTTCTAAAATACAGACTCTTTAAAAGTAACAGTTAATTTTCTATCTGTTCAGAAGACTCATGTTAACAAAACGGTTATTCCCTGTAACTTTGAAACACAAAGAATGTTATTCATTTCAGTGTACGCTATTCACAAGAAAATAGATCAGCATGGCAGCCAGAGTAATGATGTGAGATAGAGGAGTACTCTGAGTAACAATGAACAAAGTAATCTGAGCCTATCATAGGCAACCTCTCCTATTTATTTCCAGTTTTCATATCCCCTACTCATGCAGTCATCTGAAGAAGTGGGCTGTGCCCACGAAAGCTCATGATACCATCTACCTGTTTTGTTAGTCTATAAAGTGCTACCAGACCTTTTTCTTTTTTTTTTTTTAATGTATAAGTGTGATTTAAACACTGATTATGGAGAAGTGTGGAGAGATGATAAAGGCAAACTTTCTCAAGGTATTTTGAAACATAATAGTTTAAATTATTAAATCTTGAACCTGTCACCCTTCTAGAATTAGTGGATGCTCTCCAAACCCCACACCACTCAAAGCTTAGATTTATTTTTATCATGACAACTATTTTTGGTGTTGATCCTGTAAATAAGATCAGCTAATTGTAATGGTTGCTATCAAGAGTAATCCCAAGTGAAAACAATGAAACTATGGTGATGCATACTACTATGGTGCTAAGTGTTTTCAGGGGTGAGTACTTCCTTGAGTTACTGACTTTTCAGTGTAGAACTTTTGTGTATTATAGGTTACACATTTTAGAAATTATTTATATAAGAACGGCCATACTGGGTCAAACCAAAGATTCATCTACCCAGTATCCTATCTTCGACAGTCGCCAATGCCAGGTGCCCAGGGAGAATAAACAGAACAGGTAATCTCCAAACGATCCCTCCCCGTCCCCTATTCCCAGCATCTGACAAACATAGGCTAGGGACACCATTCCTGTTTATCCTGGCTAATAGTCATTGATAGACGTAACCTCCATGAATTTATCTAGTTCTTTTTTGAACCCTGCTCTTACCAACATCCTCTGGCAAGAAGTTCCACAGATTGACTGTGCTGTGTCAGCAGGAATTTGCATGTCTTCTTCCAATCTTGCTTTCGAAAGCAGAGCTTTCGAAAGTGAAAGTAGGTTAGACGCGGCTTTTTTGGCAATCCCCCCCTTTCTCGAAAAGCCACGTAAACCTCATTTTTTGAGGAAAAGCAGCTTTTTGACAAAGGGGAGGTGTTCGCTGAAAAAAGCCACGTCTAAACCTTTCAAAAGTGAGATCAGAAGATATGCAAAATCCTGTGGAATTTGCATATCCTCTTTTGACACTCTAGCATAGTTTAGATGAGCCCCAAGTCCTCTTCAGTTAGGAAGGAAGGGTTGTCACAACGTGTGATTAAAATCAGTGATGCAAAAAGGTCCTTTGCTTCTTACTAGTTACGGGGCTTCCTGCCCACCACATAGCCAGAAGGGCCCATCCCTGGGCCCTAAATTCAGGTCCGTGGGCAGGCAAAGATAGGGGGTGCAGTTAAACCCCTTGAGTCCATTGAACAAAATAGCCCCACTCGTTCATTAAAGGAGGGCTCTGCAAAACTAAATGTAGCTTGAAACTTCAATAAAGTTTCTGTGAATTCTCTGTGGTAGAGGTGAATATTATAATGTACTGGCTGTTTCCCCATGGAGGGCTCTGTCTGGCATCCAGAGAAGTTGCACCAGACACAGTTAACTTGTGCACATGGAAAATCCTCAGGAAGCAACACTGGAATCCAACTTTTTTTTAAAAAAAGGATACTTGAAATGAGTTTTTCCTTTACATATGTTTCAAATGTGAGTTCACATTTCTATTGCCCACCCCCAATGAGCTTAGTGTCATCTCTGTGAAATGATAGCATGAAAAACAGCTACAACTGTGTGTCAAGAAGCAAATCTCTTGTAAATGTTAGGCTGGTTGAATCAAACTTACTGTATATGCATCTCTTATGCATTTATTGCTTCTGCTTCATAATTTGAAAAATATATATTACTGGAAGATTTACCCGGCATTGCTTGGCTTCTTAATTATTTTTTGTTTTCCTTCATTTAAATCATTACTCTGGGGTAGAGGTAGGGATGAGGGATTCCTTATGCAGGCTGCTCCAGGGAGAGAGGACTACCCCAGCCCTCTTTCACTACAGCAGGTTGGGGGCCAAGTGAGAAGTGACTTTCCATATGCACTGCAGCTGCACCTGGCGAGGTGGGGGAGAGCTGCATGTTCCCTGGCTGGGGGACAGAAAGACACACAAATGGACAAACTCTCTGAAGTATATCGTAGATAGCTGTCCCTTTTTCTACCTCTGCCCCCTTCTGCCACAATGGGGTATAGCTGTTCTGGTCCCCATCTCTGGCCTTGTGCCACCCCCCTGTGGTTTAAATGTCCCTGCTTTCCATCCCATGTTCCCTGCTGTCCCCATGTGTTCGTTATTATACCACAGCCTTTCCTGTCTGTTTTATGAGAAGGAGTCCCATTCTAGGCACATCCCATTATCCTGGCACAGCCAAACCCTTACCCTGTTTTGTTACGATAACACAAAGCTACATACCAAATATGGTGATCCTAGCTCTTACTGTTTAGGAGGAGTTCTTGCAGATATAGACAGACCCTCTAAAATATGTAATATATTCCCCAACCACAGTGTATCACTCACGACTGTCCGAGATCTTCACAGATTGAAGTTAGAATATGGTCCTTAATTTACTCTTGCATTTATTTTAGGGAAATATGCCAATAAATGTTTAGGGCCACTGTAATTATGGTCTTTTGTTGAATCACTTACCTGCCTTATGCACATGCATGCACACACAGTGATTGTGTACAAGCTGCACACACAAGTCATATGAAAAGCTGGACCTTGAAGTATTACCATTAGGCTTTAGAACTTAAATTAAGAGCAGTGAGAACAATGCATACCTCCCTTAGAACTGTTATTATGGGCTAAGAGCGCATTACATCATTTCACAATGAATACTCTAAATTCATAAATCTATTTTCCTTTTCTTAATAATACAAATAATAAATTTATCATGTGGCTGCATAAATGGGATAGGAGTCTGACACTGTAATTTATAAGTTAGTGATGATTAGAGATGAAAAAGAATAAATAGTTATTTGGTAGGCATTTGCCTTACTGGAATGCTTACTGGGTTACTGATTACCCACAGGACCCGAGGGGTGGGAGAAGCTCCCCACCCGCAAATTATTTAACTGGTTAACTGTTTTAGGTGGTGTCAAGGCTGTTCCCCGCTCTGGCACTATGAATGCAGAAGGTGGGAGCACACAAGAGAGGTTCAAAACCTTGTCTCTACAGGCACTGGTTACGAAACTTCCCCCCAAAATCCTAATACCCAGATTTTGCGGAATTTGCTGCCACCATCAAGTGCTTTTGACCCCTAAAAAACCAGGAATGAACACTTGAAATCACCCCTCAGGGGTATCTCAAGCTCTTTTGCCTCAAAGGATCTTGAAAAAAGAAAAGACAAAAATAAGCTCAGTCTCTGATTGCTGATCCCACTGTCAGAGGCATGCAGATCCACACAGACACACCTTCCAGGACACAAGAATCAAATCACCGCCTTGAAAGAAGTGATTTTTATTACAAAACTTTTATTACAAAAGTATGATAAAGCATACTTGGTTGCTAGATGTACAGAACAACTAAGGAAAACAAATTAAAAACCAGATAGCAAAGTCTCAGCACAATGTTTAGATGGTAAGTGGGGACGGAAGGCATAGAATCACACAGCAGTTCAAACCAAACCACAAAATAGAGAAAAACTACCCTGAACGCGACTGGACTCATATTTCCCTGGTAATCATTTTTAATTTTCTCTTGGTTCAGTCTGCTCCCATACCCTGAATTCCATGGTGGGACATGGTAGTCTTTCCTGGGTTAAATGATTCTGTGTCTCTCTCTATCCCTCGTGTACTTCTCCCACACAAAGAAAGCAGGCAGCGAATTTATATCCAATTCAAATTCCAAGCCTTTATCTCAGTTGGCTCTCCCAGCCCCATGTCTGGCACCTTTGCTAGGTACCTGAGTTAACCCCTTAGTCAGCAGGTGCTGGTCAGCACTCCCCCTGTTTCACAGGAAATTTATACAATCATAGCGCTGACATTTAGTACTGAGAAACACAAAATCCCAAGTTTATTTAAGGACCTTAGTAGCCAGGGGGCCAAATTAAGGCTTCTGAGCGGCAAGAGGATGGTAGAGGGTACTGGGAGCACCGTGCTGGTTTATATCTGCACATGAGGGTGTCTTAAGTCATATGTGCTGTGGAGCTTGTCTGAGGGAAGAGTCTAGTAATAAGAGAAGAGTTAGCAGTTGGTGGCACAAGTAGATTTATTGGTACTTAAAATTATGAACATCCCATTGGTTAGCTGATTTTTATTTTGGACATTACAACAAGATTTGTACGTGTCTGTTGTTTCTTCTCAGCTTCCTGCCCATGCAGTAGTATTACTGTCCTTTTTCATTCATCCCTCATGAGGAGTCTCTTGTAAGAGGAAGAGAAGAGGAATGATGGCCCGTTGGCCAGAAGGGGACTTGGGAATTATCGGGTGTAGTTCCCTGATCTTCCAGAGATGTCCTTTGTGATGTTGGGCAAGTCGCTTAGTCTCTCTGTGGCTCAGTTCCTCATATGTAAACAAGGCATAATAGCAGTTCTCACACCATCTCTGTATTGTAAGGAATAAATACATTAAAGCCAGTGAGATATGCAGATAGAATGGTAAAAGAGATCACATAAGTACCATTAGTATGAGTGAGAGAAATCTTGGTTGGCTACCATATGTTTGTTTGCCTTTCTTCTTTCGACAAGTGTAAGAGAGATGGTAGATGAAGAATTGGTATTGTGTGGGTTTGTTTTATCTGGGTGAGAATGGACATACTTTTTACTCAATTTTGGGGGCATCTACAACACCACCTGTTCATGCCAGCCGATTAAAGGCAGCTAAGACAGTGAATGTGCCATGCTGGCAGCTGACTTTTTCTCATAATGCATGGAAAGATCTAAAGAATACAGTTTGTCCCACGCAAGAGCAGTTGTCTATTGAACATGGGCCACCCTTCCAAGAGGAATTTTTATTTTAAGATTTGTTGGTACACAGGCTTCTTAATATGAATTTAATCACCTATGATGTTAGTCACTGAATACTTCAAATACATAAGATTTGGCTTATACTACAATAAAAGATCCGTAGCACACCTGTGACTGGCCCAAGTCAGTTAACTCAGGCTCATGGTGCGTTGGCTGTGAGGCTACAAATTGCAATATAAATGTTTGTGAGGAATTTATTCCTCTGAAATCTCAGACAGAAGATCTCAGGCCCAAGCCTAAATGACTCCAATTCACACTTTAGTCCCACAGGCCAACCCCTTTATCTGACCCAGTTCTGGACTCTGTCATTTTTGTATTGCAGTACAAGTATACCTTGATATAATAGTCTATGGTCTTCATGAATACTTCTTGGGTTAATTTCTGGAATAGGCATAGAGATCGGACACACATTTGCTTGACTTGGTTAAATTATTTAATTAGACATTCCTTTTAGTCACAGTATATGCATAACAAGCATCAAAGTAACTAGTAAACCAGAAGAATGCTTGTTTTTGCTTTTTACAATCTGAGGTCATCAGTTTCTTGCTGTTAGGATCTATCTTTTATTTTTGATTGGTCCAGGGTAGACTGTTGTCTAATTGTTTTTATTTTTAAGACATTTAGTTTTGGGTGAGTAACAAGTAGCTTTAATTTGATATGGATAAGACTGAAGAAAGCATTTTGAGGAACATACGTACTACTTATAAAAGCCAGTTTATTCATGTGATGAGGCAACTGCCTGTGAGAGACAGGTGCAAAATTGAAGAGTTATTTTGGATTGCCATCAGTATGTTATAGTGATTCCCTACAATGACGATTATCACTTCCTGGTTGAACATAATATTAGCTTTTTTTTCCTCCTACCCCGATCACACAAGTCATTCATGATTTGCTAGAACATATTTCCTTAGATCTGAGATGTAATGCTCAAGCTTGATAATTTCCATCTATTTTCTGAGCAAGAGGAGCTGAGGTCAAAATTAGAGGTGACCTGAGGCTGTCACTCTATTTGATCATTGAAAATGTATTCATATAGAGTCCAGTGGTTTAGAAGTAAATATCACAGCTATCACTGAACAATTCAAGTAGAAAATTAAATCAAAAGCCCACCAAATCTGATTTTATGCTACAGTCAGCATATTTGCAGTTGTGTCCGATAGCAAGTTGAAGTTAATATTGTTTAAAGACTGAAATGTTAATGTCTGATAAGATTGGCTCAAAATTCAATGTTGGTTTAACTAGTAACAAAGGCTGATAGTTGTGGTTGGAGTTTTCTCCCCACTTCACATTAGTTTTGGCAAGATATCTATGTAATTCATAAGGACTAGAGTTGTAAATGGTTAACCAGTTAGAGTTAACTGGTGGAGACTGGAGCATTCCCTGGACCACTGCAAGCGGGGTCCTTCCATAGCACCATGGAGCCCACCAGCTGCAGGGGCTGTGTCAGCTCGGCCAGAAGAGCCCTCACCTACAGCAGGCCTGTTCTGGCAGTCTACACCAGAGACGCTGCAGCCCAGGTCTGCAACAGACCCGGCCTGGTGCACCAGAGACAGGGGTGCACCAACCTGTCCTCATTTAATTGGTTATCCTGTTATCTAAGTACAGTAAAACTCCGTTGGTCCAATGCTCCGACACTCCTGATGGTGCAGCACCATTGGGAACACGGAAGTGCTCCAGGCAGCTGGACAATTGGAGCTGCTCTGCCCCCGGCTTCCCCAATTCAGCCTCTGCTGAAACTGACCAGCAGCTGAATCGGGGGGCTGCCAGGTTGGTCCTGCAGCGCTGAGGGGTGGCACTACGGGACCAACCCGGCAACACCCCAGCTGCTCTGCCCCAGGCGTCCCGATTCAGCCACTGCTGAAACTGACCAGTTGCTGATTCTGGTCCCAGGCATCCCCAAGAACCCCTCCATTCATTCACTCATTCACACCCATTCATTCCTTCCCTCAGACACTCACACACTTACACAGACATATGGGTTGCAGAAGGAGCCAAGGCATGTGGATCCTGGAGGGTCTGTCTGCTCATCATGGCTGGGAAAGCTGGTCAGGAGGGGAGAGACTGGAGAGAAGCGTCTCAGGAGCAGGGGAAGGAAAAAGAGTCTCACATGTGCTCCTTCTCTTTATATAGTGTCTGAATGGCTCTTGTGACTCATTCACCTCGTCATCAGGGAGCATGCCCAGACTTCCCTTTATCCAGCTGGAAGCATGCCCAGACTGTGATGACTCATTGACATATGGTCCATTGTTCCCAGTCTTCTTCAAACACACTCTCACACTCTCTCTCCATTCATTCAGGGGAGAATGCAGTTTAGGGAAAGTTACAAGCAAGGTGGCTGAGAGTTACACAGATTACAAAGTTTGACAAAGATCACAATGAGTTGCAGTTTAAAACCTTAGACCTTACAGTTTGGTGTAGCTTTAGAAAATCCATGTATATAAATCAAGTAAGCTCAGGCAGAGGCTTTTTATGCAACAGTGTTCATAGTACTTCAAGTCCATACGTAAATGTGCTGTTCCATTCTGAACAAGCTCAAACAAATATGAAATAGGAAATTACAATTTTTTTGAAAATTTTGAGTGAAAACCTGTGATTTTAAGCTATTAATGACTCAGAAATATCTGAAAGAAAAAATTCTCAATTTGGTTTGACTTTGAATGAGATGTACCAATCTTAGATTGCTAACCACCTTTCATGCAGACCTTCTAAAAAGATTGCAGCCCTGTTTGTGCAAGATTCACAGATTCCTTCAAGTAGGTCTTGAACATGTTTACAACTCCGGGTCAATATTAAGGGTGTCTCAGTGGTTGGGAGGCCAGACTTTTCGTCTAGAGTCTTGTATAGATACAAAATGTTGTATCTGCATCCATATACACAAAAATGAGTCACAGCTATCCACATCCACATCTGCAGATGTGGTTACCCAGGCATATAAAGTAGATATCCATGGATTTGCAAGATTCTGTTTTGTTCTACATGCTCAGCTGCATGGACTGTTTCCCAGAGACTGAAACTACCTATATCTGCAAAAAAAAAAAAAAAAAAAAAAAAAAATGAATCCTGCAAAAAAAAACTTTTTACTGGAATGCATCTAGATTTCTTTTCTTCCTTTTCACGTCTCTTGTTTTTAATTTTGCAAACAAAAAAACTATTGCTAAAATGTGACATTACGATAGAACTATCAGGCACTTGAAAGTGAGGAAGTTCCAGTTACTTCTGCAGTATTAATTCAGTTATGTTTCATGTCCTCCATTTTTTTGCTATTCTTTCATAGTGGAAGTGAACTTATTTTAAATCAAGAGAGAATGAAGATATTGTGTCCATGTAATGTAGTAGAGTTAATGTAGGAGAAATGGTGTGTGAGAGAGAGTGTACATGCACATACTCACCATTTAGAAGGAATATTTTTTATAATACCCTCCATATTGATGCCTAAATTTTGAGTGCTTGATATTTCAGTTTTAATGTTAATTATTGCTTAATTTTTGTTCTTAATTTTTTTAAATGAGTATTTTAACAGAAGCAGAGATTAAAACTAATAAACTTTGTGTATAACTAGAACCGTGTGCAGATACAAACATTTTTCACATCCGTATCTAGAAAAATGAGCTGCAGATACCCATATCCATATCTGCTGATGCAGATATCTGGGAATATATCTGCAAATTTTCAGGGTTCTAGATTTGTATTTTTAGTTGCAAAAATGAACTGTGGATATCTGTGGATTTGCGGGACTCTATCACAGCAAAATCAGTATTGGGAATCTCAACTTTTATCCAGTATAGAACTAATACATTTCAGTGGGCCCCAATGAGCCACAGATGTGGTTTGGTTCTTCAAAAGTAAGTCTCGAACCCAATTTTTCTCCTTTGAGGGAGAATTAGACACTTCAGTGGAGTTACTTTATAGTAGTGTCCAATAACAAGGCCCCCAACTCCATCAGTAATTGCACCAACATTTGACTTCCTCTAATCACTTCTGATTAATTCAAAGTCAGATTTTAGGATGCTTAGTTAACATTTTCATCTTAAGTAAGACAAGGGATCCTGCTAGTTTTTTGTGTAGTCTCAAACAAAATTACAGATAAAACACTCATTATTAGAAGTCTGCCAGTCATTTAACTAGTTTATCCAAAGTAAATGATACCTGTACAAGTGGACAGAGGAAAATGAATGGTTGAAAATGGGGGAAAGATTTTTGAGTAATTTTCCTTGAGGAAAAGACTCCTTCTCATTCTCAAATGTGGCATTCATGTGCAGCTGAGCAACGATTAAATTGACTAAACCATAGAATACAACATGATTCTGAACTAGTCTCCCATTATGTATGCTAAGAGGACCAGTAATTACCATCAGAAACCAGTGTAGTAGAACGTGCGGGGAGGAACTGGAGTCAAGGAAAGAGATATTTTACTGCTGACATCAAAGGAGGTTAATTCACCTTACGCTTATTGAAAACTCCATTTATTCTGCAATCTAGTCCTAGGACAGATAAGGTGGCCTCTGAATCCATTGATTGCAGTCTGGTGTATCATGTGCAAAGTATTTCCTTTTGTATGGCTTATGTTGGGAGCTCTTTTTAGTGCCATTCTGCCAGAGGGTACATAAACTCTTGCATTCTGCATAGGCAAGAACCTACATTTTGATATTTCATTAAGCTCCATAAAATCACAATAGCAGCTTGCAGCCTCATGTAGAAATGATACATACTATTGTTCTTGCATACGATTGGACGGTAAGATCTATAGACAGAATGCAGCTGCCATTAAAATCTTTGGAAAAAATCCCATAGGCTTCAATAAGAGTTGGTCAGGTCTTATAAAAGTAGATTGACTAGACACATTTTTGTTAAAGAATATACTTAAAATAACATTTAGCACTTCATGTTGTCAGAGCCCTTCACAAATACTAATTAATCCTTGCGAGCTTGTGTGAAGTAGGCAAGCAAACATTACCTTATTTGTCAGATAGGAAATTCTGTCCAGGGCAGGTGGAGGGTCTGGATTCTGGGGCTCCCCATAGCAACCCAGGCTGCAGTTTCTGCCCAGTCTGGTTTCTGTCTTAGCCAAGGTCAGGGCCTTGGGGGCAGGGCAGCAAAAGAAAGAGGAAGAGCTGGGTCTGGAGCCTCATTGCAAGGGATGCTAAGGTCCACTTCAGTGTCTCCTTCCCCATCCAAAACTGGGCAGATACTGGCTTAGCACTGAGCATTGGTCAGGATCAAAGTGGCACCAAAGTAAATGTGGGACTAATGCTATCTGAGTCATTTAGCCCAGACCCTGGACTTGAAATTTATGTTTAGGGACCGTATCATTCAGTTAAGGACAGGAAGTCACCCTACATTTATCCAAGTCCTCAGAGGTTAACATTCTTTTTAAAAGCTAACAGTATGCCTGTTTCGGCACCAGTTATGGAAGGACTCGGAACTACCATTAGATGATCATGAAATTACCTCTTACTTTTCTTGGGACTCCTCAGGTCCAGAACCATGACATCTGAGGACAGAACAGCTAAACATGCACATCGCAGTTTCACATATTTTATGAACTAAATTAAGCAAAAGCATAAAATAAGTACAAATCAGATTGAAAAAAATCAAATTAAGAGAAAATGGATTAATATAAAACCCACAAATTAACTTTTATCAGTTTGCTTAAACCACATTAAATAAATCTATAATACCTTATTAGCTCTCTGTAACTTGGGAAAGCATCAGTGTCTCTTAACTGTTATCACCAAAAGTAATAAGTCTACTATCAGTCTGAATGCCCACTGCTTATATTTATGTTTCAGTCAAATAGGTATTAAAGGGTTGGTCAGATCATTTTCAGGTTGAAAGCTCTGATGCCAATTAAGACTGCAAACCAAGATTATTGGTTGTTAAGAAATAGCCATCTCCTTTCCTCAACATAAGGTAATATACTATTCCAGTACAAGATGACAGAGCTTACTGCCCTTAAAATTCAAATGATAAATAAAGGTGAAAATAACATGGTTTCTGAGAAATAAACATAACTCCTGGATCATCATACATGCTTATGTTATCTTTTAGGCAGTGAACTTGTTTAACCTAAGGTTGTTCAGGAACAATTCTATAAGAATCTTTCCCATATTCTCTGGATTCTGTCCATGAGCAGTTCTGGACACAATGTGTGCCAGCATGCTCACTAATACCTATTTGGCAAAGCTTAAAAAGTTCACAAATGATAGGGCATCCTTCTACCAAAACAAACTGGAAAAGAACACAAAGCCAAAAAGGTAGATTCTTAGTGTGATTGGTACGACTTATGTTTTTTGTTTTATTGAGGTTCAGGAAGATTAGAGAATTTTATCAGCTCAGATGTTTAAACAGATTTGCTGGCTGGCTACAGGTTACTTGCTTGTAGATATCAAATGTTAGATTTACATGTACTGGGTTCCCAGTCAGTGTTCCCTCTAACATTTTCTATCCTTGGGCAGGTTGAATTTTCTCTTGGGCAGGCTGGAATTTCTTAGGTCCAAGAGGTAGTGTGTGGATATGGACCACCAGTACAAACACACACATACATAGAGTCCATAGGTGTGGAAGAAAATATTATAACATAGTTAATAAGGAGCAATGCTTACAATGTTGATTTAATATGTATCTATATCAAAAAATCTTTTCCTGTGAGACGACACAGGGGCATCATGCATCACTCTGTGTCCCGCAGCCCCTCCCTCTGCCCTCAGCTGCGTAGCCTTTCCCCTGTCCCATGGAGCTGCCAGCCATGCAGCCCCCTTTCCCACATTCTTGGGGGGAGCCATGGGAGCCATGAGCCATGCAGCAAACCGGGGGGCGGGGAGCCTGGCATGGCTTAGCTGTGCAATGTCTAGGCCTGGCCCAAACCCCCGGCAGCTAGCAGGGGAGAGCCAGGCCTGGCCATGATGAGGCTTCAGCCCAGGCTAGCTTCCTGGCAGCCTAGGGAAGAGAGCTGGGCCTGGTAAGACTAGAGGAAGGGCTGGGGCTGGCCTGGCCTCAGCCGCTCCCTTCCCTGGCAACCACGGGGAGATAGCTGGGGCTGCTGAGGCTGGGGGGGAGAACCGGGGCTGGCGCAGCCTTGTCTGTGCCTAGCAGCCAGGGAAGAGCCCAGCCTGGCTTGGTGCACCTTGTCTTGACCATCCCCAGCTGCCAGGGACACAGCCAGGCTTGGCTTGGCAGGCCAGAGCCCAGCCTTCCACAGCATTTCTGGGTTGTGCTGGGGTCAGAGCTGGGCCTGGCCTTGCCTGGCTTTCCCTGGCCACTGGGTGCAGGGCTGGGACTGGCACAGCTTTCCGGGGGCAGGAGAGGGGGCGGTGAGGGTTAGGTCATGGTCAGGAGTTGTGGGGGAGGAGAAGGGACCTGGATTTGGTGTGGAAAAGGCCCAGGTTGGCACACAGCATGTAGGTGAGGAAGGAGAGATAGCACGGGATAGCACAGGCAGGGGAGAATGAAAAGAGGTGCAGACTGGCACAGAAGGGAAGGAGACGGGGTATGTGCTGGTGTAGGTGAGGGGGATGAGAAGGGCCCCAGTCTGGGGCGGAGCAGGGAGGGGAGAGAGAAGGGGCCCAGTCTGGCATGGCTACTAGAGGGAGGCTGGCAAGCTGGGGAGCAGCCACCCTAGTGAAATCAAATAAAAAGAACATTCACATTACTCGTGGAGTATATGTATTATCATTCTTTCTAACTCAGGCTAGTAAACACACCAAAATGGCTATCCACACATATCTCAGCTTTAAGATGCTATACAAATCATGAGTGAACTAGAAATAGTCATGCTCTCCTTACAAATACTAATACACTATTTACACTGGAAAGGAGACTAAAAGGCATTCATTCAGGCTTATACAGTTTTTCTGGACAATGTTTAGGATTCATGCTATACAAGAACAAATGAAACAGAGACCTGTAAAAACAGGTAAAAGTTCTTCTGGTTTGAAACTTTAACCTTGTGTGTGTCACGAGCTGAAAGAATAGAAGCCTCAGAGCAAACTAACAGATGGCTTCAGGGTTTGTAGACCGATCCATGTTTCAAAGAGCTTTCAAATAAGGTTTTGTCCTACAAAACAACTAGCATCATGCCTAGTACTTGCTACTCCTGACCCAAAAGAGCCAGAACTCTACCACATACCAAAGATCTGCCCTTAATACAATACAATGTTCTATGTATTAATTAATAACACAGGATTTTAAAAAAATCATTAAGATCAGAGTTTTACATGTCTGCAACACTCCAAACAATTCTGTATTAAGAATCTTTTTCTTTCTTACCTTAAGCCATTAACTCCTATGTTAAATTTGTTTGAAATGTAATCATGCAAATGTCCTGGCGCACACCCCCCTCCTACCTCCCATGCAGCCTGGATTCCTCTTCTTCTCTCCACCCAGCCGGAGAGGACTGCTATCTGGACTGCAGCAAGTAAATCAGGCCACCCCAAACAAACTCCCCCCTGCCTCCACCTTACTGCACGTACGCCAGCACCTACCCACTCCTTATTCCCCCCACCTACCACTGTACAATCTGGTCCCTGGCACCCAGCACAGTTGCAGGCTGGGATAAAATCCTGCTGCTTAGACTTGAAAGCATTAACATTCTAGCTGGGAGTTAGGACAGGACACCCAGCACAAACAAGTTCTTTGCCCCCACCTCACCTCAGTGCCACCACCCACCTCCTGCTTCACTCACATATCCCATGCAGTCATCTCTCCCCTTCTCCCTCCCCCCCCCCCCACCCCTCTTCCCACCCCAGGAGGCTTGAGGAAGAAGAGAATGCTGGGTTTCTGCCTCTTTCTCAGGACACCCCAAATTCCCTTCTCCTTTCACTCCCTCCAGCCAATTATTTCCTTCCTCCTTATCTCCCCAAATTCCCCCTACCCTAAAACTCTTCCCTCCTCCCTCCAATTCTTCCCTTCTTCCCTGCTTCTTATCTCCCCTCCCTGGCTGATCTCTAAGTTCCTCTGTTTCAAGCAGGCAGTTCAGTTTGAAGGTGCCCAGAGCCAGATGGCCCCTCCCCCAACTGATCAGCTAAGCTTCCTGCCAGCGGGGCAGCTCTGAGCCTCTGGTCAGGGATCATTGAACAGCTATGCTGCAGTGCAGGTTACAGGGAACCTAGGTGCAGGGGTGTGTGGAGAAAGGCATGCTAGCATTGCATGGATAGCAGCCAGTTGTGGTAGCAGTATAACATATAGGTAGGCAAACAATGGCTTCTTTCATCTGTTTTTTCTAGTCTTCAAGATGATTGACAGTTCTTCCCCTCCACTACTTTGTCTTTTCTTCGAGATAAGTTTTTAAGTTTTGTAAAGTTGAAGGTACATATCCCCACTATGTGCAAGAATTCAGTATAGTTTGAAGTAGTATGTCCCTAGTAGGTTGGCTACTAGCAACTTTGAGAGTGATACACTGTAGGTAGCTATCTCACAGTTCCTGCTGTCCCTTACCATTCTGAGTTATGTTCCAGTGCACGCTGGGACCAAAATTGTGTAGCAGTTGGTTCTGGGTACATACCATCAGCATCCCATAATACACTCATATCCTCCTTCCCCTCTACCCTTCTCCCATTTGAAAGCAAAGCAAACACCCTTTTTTTCTCTTGGTTATCTGTGCAGATGCCATAGCAGGATAAGCATGGAACCAACCCTTCCTGGAACCTGTTTAACAGCAAAGTATTATGGCAATCATATTAACCATGGTGCACCTTATCATGGAGTATATCCAGAGCATTTCCAGGGTCTTCTGGAATGAGGAAGTATCTCAGGAGATCATGAGCATGCTCTTTTGTGAAGCATTTGAGCAACCGGCAAATGCTGCCAGTGTTTGATCCTCTGGACACAGTGGAATGCTGGTTCCGGTGCCATAAAAGAAGCACAAACCCATAGTGATGCAGCAATGGGTCAATCAGCAGTGGCTGCAAAACTGTCACATGCATAAAACCACTTTCATGGAAGTTTGCAAATTGTTTTTCCATACCCTGAAGCACAGAAATATCAGAATTAGACCCACTCTGATATTAGAGAAGCAAGTGGCAATTACCCTATGGAAATCTGCAATGTTAGACAGCTACTGGACATTTGGGAATCAATTTGAAGTGGTGAAATCTACAGTGGGGGCTGTTGTGATCCAAGTAGCCAAGTCAATCAATACCCTTCTGCTACAGAGGGTTCTGACTCCAGGAAACATGCAGAACATAGTGGAGGGCTTTGTTGTGATTAGATTCCCTAACTGTGGTGGGGCGGCAGACAGAATGCACATCCCTATCTTGGCACCTGACCACCTTGCCAAAGCATACACAAATCTTAAAGGATACTTCTCAATGGTGCCGTGGGTGCTGGTAGATCACAAGGTCCATTTCATCTACATCAATATAGGATTTTCGGAAAAGGTGCATGATGCAACATGCATAACTTTAGGAACTTCTGTCTCTTTATAAAGCTGCAAGTTTGGGACTTGCTTACCAGATGGAGAAGTTACCATCGGAGGTATTGAAATGCCAGTAGTGATCCTAGGAGATAGCCACCTCTTACTCCCATGGCTCATGAAGCCATATGCAGTAGGGATGTTAGATAGCATGTAATTGAATAGTTGTGTAACTGCATAAAATTTTAGCAGAATGGGGTGGCAAGTGGGAGCTTCTCCGCAAGAAGCGGTGATTTAAAAGTCAGCTCCGCATGCAAACCAGGCTCCTGCCTGCCCCCCCTCACTCTCCACACTGCTGCCTCTTTATCAGCAGCAGCAGCACGGGGCCAGGCGTGGCAGACAGATCTGGTGCTCATGGGGAACTAGCTTAAATCGGCTCTCCATGGACACCAATTCCCACCTTCCCCCCATTTCTGCCTCTGAGAGGGTATGTCTACACTACCCTCCTAGTTTGAACTAGGAGGGTAATGTAGGCATACCGCACTTGCAAATGAAGCCTGGGATTTGAATTTCCCGGGCTTCATTTGCATAAACAGGGCGCCGCCATTTTTAAATCCCTGCTCGTTCGAACCCCGTGCCGCGCGGCTACACGCGGCACGAACTAGGTAGTTCGGACTAGGCTTCCTAGTCCGAACTACCGTTACTCCTCGTGGAATGAGGAGTAACAGTAGTTCGGACTAGGAAGCCTAGTCCGAACTACCTAGTTCGTGCCGCGTGTAGCCGCGCGGCACGGGGTTCGAACGAGCAGGGATTTAAAAATGGCGGCGCCCAGTTTATGCAAATGAAGCCCGGGAAATTCAAATCCCGGGCTTCATTTGCAAGTGCGGTATGCCTACATTACCCCGCTAGTTCGAACTAGCGGGATAGTGTAGACATACCCATACAGAAGAAGCAAGGGGGAGGGGATGTATGTAGTTGACAGGATTGACCAATAAGCTTAGGCAAAACCAATATTCCCTTTGTTGTGGCAGTCTGCTGTGTGCTCCATAATATCTCTGAGAGTAAGGGAGAACGTTTTATGACAGGATTGGGGAGCGGAGGCATAATTATTGGTCTACTCAGTAATATGAGCATCCTGACACCAGGGTAATAAGGGGACTTTGGTAGTTGTTACTTTGGAATTTATACACTTTCTAAATAATTTTTGAAGGCAAGGTCTTGTACAAAACATACTTTGATTAGCTAATTTTAAATAACCAATTCTCGGTGAGACTCTTGATGCTTAAATTGCAGACTGAATACTCCTTATATATATTGATATATTTCATGAATCAAAATAGAGTTTAAATAGGAAACTGTACTAAGTAAACTATATTGATTTATATGATATTTACAAAGTTTATGGTAATAGATGGTTTTATGATATTTGTAAAGTTAAAATAAATTTAACACAGTTATGTTCACTTAAAAGGAATCACTCTCAATTAAATCACAATAAATCAGTCATCTTAACCATGGTACGTATATGAAAAATACTTAATTTTTTCTTAAAAACAGGCAAACTATTCCATATTGCCTGTCATTCCTCCCTCCCATTAGAACTGGCAGGTTCTACTTTTGGCTAGATCCCTTCTTGCCAGTGGCCTGCTCACCAGCAGTGAGTGCAAGAGTCCAGTGGCCGATGATGAGGGTGGGCCTGCAAGGCTGCTCGTGGGGCAATGCTGCAGTGCGCAGGTCTGGCTGCTACCCCTGCTGGTCTATCAGCACAGCACCTGCTGCATAACAACTCTCAGCTAGCACAGCTTTGCCCCTGTCCCATTTCCAGCTGGCATTAGTTGTGAATTATGGTGGCTGGTGAGCACAGGCAGGTACCAGACAGTGGCCAGTCTGCCTCTGCTGTCCAGCCATCAGTCCTTTACATGCCCCCTTTCTTACTGTCCTCACCCTGCTCTCCCCCTGCGCCACCCCCAGCCCCACGGCTCCTTCATATCCCCCCAGCGAGCCACATCTTACTCATAGCGCTATGCAGTGAACCAGCCCTTAGTCAGGCTACTTGGCTCATCAACAATCTGGTCAACAGGCTCGTTACTTACACACTGTCTCTGGCTGGGACTGCACCCTGGAAAAGCTCCAGAATCTCTGGCCTGGAGCACTGGCCAGTAAGAGCCAAGCCCTGTGCAATGCTGGCATGGGGAATCCTCTCCAACCCTCAGCTAAGCTAAGTGGATGGGAAAGTGATTTCCAGTCTGTTCCTGTCCTGATCCTGCAGGCTCTACAGCAGACTCCTGGACAGGGATTTATCACTTTGTTTACACCCACCCTGGTCCTGCCACCAGGGAGCATGGGCTGCTCTGTGCCCTATGTACCCTTACCTGATGAGCCACCTCTCTGATCCAATTCACTGAAGCCCCTGCACTCAGGTTCTCTGGGCTCTGGTGCACAGAGCATCCTTGGGTCTTAATCTCTTCCTGCCTGCACTGTAGCTGGAAGGATAGTAGGGGCTGGATTATGTCAGTGGTCAACTGCAGCCTGCACGTGTTAGCTGCCTTTGGACCTGTGCAGGAAAGAAGGACATTGCTGCTTCTAGACATTGGAGTGAGGGGGAGGAGGTAGAGAACAGATGAGTGCCTCAAAGACAAGGGACCAAGTAATCACTTCCCCTCTCCCTTCTCTCCTGTAGCTGGAAATAGCTCACATCCCATTCCATCCTTCCCACGCAGTACCACACTGAGGTGTGAACCCCGGCCTAAATATAAGAGGTGGTGGCATGTGACCCTTACATGAAGCCAGGAAGATGTAGTGCCAGGTACCAGGAGAGGTGAGTCCATCTTGTGGGTCCAGCTAGGCCATGATGAGTGGATTTTATCAGACAGGGTTTTAATAGGGGCTCAGTTAACTTGATGTTAATTTGACCATTTGTACTGCATAGTTCTGATTTATTCAAGCAAGTTCAATGGCAATCAGAGTAATTTTATCAGCTGTCTCTTATTCAACATGGCAAAATATGGTCACCCTAGTTATGAGACTATCAGTGAATGTTGGTAGAACTATGTTTACAAAGTTAAAAATTTTAGAAATGTAAACTGGGGTTGAACTACTGCATTATCAATTTAAAATTCAATTTCCTTTTCGTAGAGATGTGGTTAACTGGCAGTATCTGGGATACTAGATACGCGTATGGATGGCTGTGGGCAGAGGGCCATTTAAGTAGTTAACCGATTAAACTGATTAAGCAGGATTTTTTTCATCCCTACTTCTCAGACAGTAATACATAGCCATTTATTTTCTTTTCCAGCATGTACACACATGAATATCACTAATCTGACTCTTTTGTTTTACTGTTAAAGTAATACTATCCTGAACTACTGTGATGTTTAGGATCACTTTCTGTCCACTTTCAATCCAGTTTAGTTTACTTTGCCATTGCTCATAGAAATTGTTAATTCATATTAACAGTTTAGAAAGGTTGGCCTTTCTAAATATGCACTAACTTCATTCAGGGTGGTATTATAGTAGTCATTTTTTCTGATATCACCATGGTCTTCCCTTTGGGGCTCTCAGAGACAGTTAGTAAGGAGCTTATATGTGATAAGTCTTAGTTACCAGTAGGAGGAGTGCTTGTGTCTAGCCAAAAGATCTAGTTATTGATTTCTTGTTCTGAAAACATAATAGTTTGTGTGAAGTGATTTACTGCTGTCTTCCAGTTTCTTTTGATTTAGTTTTGATGGGCAGTTCATTGATTGATAGTGTGTTTGAAAACAATGATGGTCCAATCACAATAAAAATTGCCATTCATGTTATGGCTTTCTTCCAGTTAAAAAGCAGATACCCTTCTTGTAATTTTATATTTGTAAATGTATGTCAATATGTGGGATTCATTTGCAGAATTCAGGGTCTGAAATCTTCTTAATCCAAACCTCTTTAGAACATCTCCGCTCTACTTCTGGAATTACAGCAACTTTTTAAGTAGATGATAATCAATTGCTTTCTGTGATTTCCTGGTGTCTTCTGTCCTGCCATAATCAAGTTCTATAGCCTTTGCAAAACTTCTGGTTTCCTTCTCATAATGTGATTTCCCCCCCTCCCCCAAGTCCATTATGAAAGTTTCTAGTGTTTATGTAAAGCATTTCCACATTCTTTGAAATTTTATAAATGTATTTAATAAGTCCATTTTCTGCGCCTGTTTCTTCATTTTTCATTTATTCTTATTTGATTATATGCTGGAATCTTTTTGTGCTATTAACGATCAAGTATTTAACCCACCCATGTGATCATTCACTTTCTTAGAAAACAATTTAGAGAAGTTTAGCTTGATGATGTTCACTTTAGATTGGTTAACAATATATCAGTTATCACTTCCACCTAATATTTCCTATAAACTTGATAACTTGGTTGATTATTTATGTTTTAATTAGCTTTCTCATATTTATAATGGCACTTTGTGATTGCAGTTTCAATAGTTGCATTTGAAGGATCCGTATGTAGCTCATCCTAAAGAGAATTGGACAGAAGGGGTACTGAGGGGGGTGCATGGGAGTAGAACCCCTTTCCCATAGGTTTGGAATAAGATCTTTATCTCTACTCTCCTGCCCCTTTCTGATGCTGATGGGAAGGAAACGGAGATCTGAGCATTGAAGGTAAATGTTGGAAAAGTGGGGTAAAACTGAATGGACTCTGAGCTGTGCAGTGGGCAATTTTGGGGACACTTCAACTGTTTCACCTCAAAAAGCCCACATCAGTCAATCAGTAATGGATACTTGCATAGCCCCTGTCATTGTAGTATCTGAGTGCCACACAGTCCTTAAAGTGTACATCTTCACAGTACCCCTGTGTAGTAGGAAAGCACTATTGTCCCCATTTTTTAGCTGGGGAACTTAGACTCCGAGATTAAGGATATGTTTACACTGCAGCTGCAAGTATAATTTCCATCTTCAGTACAAGCACTTGTGTTAGCTTTGATCAAGCTAGTATGCTAAAATAGTGTAAGTGTGGCAAGATGGGCAGTGCCTTAGGCTAGCCTCCTGAGTACTGTCGTGTCTGAAATACTAGATACATAAATGGATAACTGGGCTGCAGCTCATGCTACACCACTGTTACTAACATGCTGTCAATAAAAGCTAGCACATACAGGCAGTGGGGCTGAAAACCTCTTCAGGCCTCTGGGCAAGGAGAGAGCCTGCTCCATGCCTGTGGAGAGGTAGGGCCTCTGACGGAAGGAATGAGCTGAGGGTAGGCAACCTTA